TATATATAAAAGTGGACGAATTATATGTAATAAAGCGTATATTTATCATCTGTTAAATATGCAGACTCTTCATTTGGTCGACGTGTGTGCGTACTAATTATAAGAAAAAAATGCATTGTAAAATATATTGAGAATTATATGAATGATCGATTATATATGTATGTCTATGTGATGTATAATGTAATTGTATAATAATTGTGTGCTCAGCAAATATCTTAATTCTTGTTTTTGTAGAATGGAGATTTTCAATAAGCTTCTTCGTACTTGTTTTTTCTAAAATTGCGTACCGATTCAAATGTCGATCAATAGAGAGAATAAGCGATCGAATGATTCTGATCTATAATTATGAGAATTAATATTCTATTTGCTCTTGATATATAACATTTTAAAAAAAGATATTCATACAAAAGAGAATATTGTTAATGAATATTTATTTTTCAGAACGAATACATAACAGACCTGAAGGTCTTGATATGAAACTATAATAGCGTAGGCCTATGACATTAGACTTGCACACGCCGTAAAACGTTTAAAACATTTCCTGACGCACGAGTGAATTTGAACGACCCGCGTAAATACAACCCTGCGAGGTGTTTCCGAGTGCATTATAAATCGTGTTTAACTTCGTGATCTCGTTACTGTATAAATCGTTGTAAGACGATAATAGTATCGCGCGTCTCACGTGTTGATTAGATCTCTAGGAAATGCCAGATTTCGCGAAACGAAATTAATTAAAATTAATGAAGCTAATTGTAGCAAAATGCTATGATCAGGCTACAGCAGGACTGATAGCTCGGAATATCGCTTTTTTAAATATATTTCAATATAAGAATAATTAAAAGAATGTTACATAAACATACATCATTTGACATGTACGTATATGCGATGAGATTTTAAACCTATAATGTGATCAAGTATGTATATCTTTCAAGCTGTAAGAAAATTCATTGCATCTGCGATACAATTTTTTGAATGAATAATTCGCATAAACGCCAAGTGTGATAACGGAATGTATTTACAAATTTAATTTGTATTGACGTTGCTCGGAAAATTCAGGAACACAAAGCAGAAAGTAAAAGATTATAGGTGAAATTTCGAAATTTCGATATTCTTATAAAAATAATACATAATATACATATAATTAATAAAAACGAAAAAGTATAATATATAATATATAATGTTAATAAATTATTTTTTAAATTAAATTTATCATATCGCATGTACATCAAATAATCAATTTAATTAAAAAAAAAAATTATATTTAAAATCTCAAATGTTGACAGTAGAACATGGAAAAATTCTTTTAGAATTCTCAGGATTCAAACTTTATTCTCATTTGCGGAACAAATCTATCAATAATAACTATGCGTAATATACAAATCTACTTACATAGTAATCATAAATTCTACAAAATGTTCTTTAACATGCTAACAAACAGTGATGAATGCAAAGTAAATTTATAAAATCGGTTAAGCACCACAATTGTCACAACTTCTCCAAAGCTGCTTTTGCAAAATGAATCAGAATCACAATTGGAATTATCAACAATTGTTTAAATGTGTTCCTAAATTTTCTGACGAGCATACAGAGAATTCAATTACACTACTCCGCATTGATGCACATTAAAAACTGTACACGAGATTATCCAAATGCAAAGATTATCCATGCTAATTTGACTGACGAAATATAGTATATTCTACTTAAATATATACTTGGTATTTCTCATTGATTAACATTAATATTAGTATAATATTAATATTAGTGTAATATTAATATTTTAGTAATATTAATATTAGTATTAATATTATTAGTTTCTAATTAAATAATTTTAAGTAAAATGCAGTCTTTAGTACATCAGTGCGAAGTAGCTCGAATTCGTTATTAGATTCATCAGAAAATATCTGCTATTTCAATCATTTCACAACTATCCGTTCTGTATCTATTTCTCCTTATCTATTTTCGGATCGCTAATATATGTGTTTAATTATCATCGATATATTTTACTTAACAGATAAAGACAGAAGAGTGTAACATGTTCTATGTAAAATTAACGTTCTGTGGTATAAATTGATATCAAAATCCTGAAGCAAACGATACATTTTTAAAAATAGCGCAGAGTTACATCTATAAACGGCACTTACAATTGTATCAGTTTTATTTCGTAGTCCGACTTGAGTATCACTATTACGAGAATGTTCGAAATGTTTGATAAAAGCTAACGAACCATTCACAGGTAAAGTTTGTTGCTTTTATTTTCACGATTCAAACTCAAGTAATATTTTGTCTTTATGACGGATCATAAAGATCGGTTTCCTGTTGCAAAGAATCGATCTCATTGTCATAGTAGCTGTCGGAATCTTTGAAATCAGGAACTACAACAATATCGATAGCGTCCCCCTTCAGTTCGTAAGCATCGTCTTCCATCTCCTCTTCCACTTTTACATTCCCCACGTTGTGGTCCTCGGTGAGATGCGTAAGAAGGGCAGGTAAGGCGTAAAATATTTTGTCACATAAATTGCATTGAAACGTCTTACCATCGACCGCGCGTAAACAATGCATGTAATCTTTCATGGGCTGATAAACTTTTCTATGTAGAGCCATATGCTTCTCATGATCCATGGAGAGAATAAATTCGTAAGAACAGATAGGACACTTCAGGTTGTGTTTTGTCCACATTGTGTGTATCTTCAGTCGATGGAGACTCTCATAGACCTCGCCGCAAATGGGACACTTGAGGCATATATGATTTTCCAGGGTCTCTGTGTTCTCATACATACCGCTACATTCGTTGCACTGATACGACTTTTGTTTCTTGCAGGTATGCTTGGACCAGTGTTTTTCCAGCTGAGCCAAAAGATCGAATACCAATTCGCAAACCGTACAGACAAACATTCCATGATGATCGCGTTTCAGGCCGCATTCCAATATGCTGATCGAGCATTGATAATGCTTTTCATAGTTGTCCTTGCGCAACAAGCTCTCATTGCAGGATTCGCATTGGTTTTGATGCTTGGTCAAATGAGCAAATAACATTCCGGGCTCTACGTTCGAATAATTACAAAAATTACACATGTAACTCTCCGCCGTCATATGCAAGTGCGAGAGCAAGTGCCTCTGATACGTATTTGGACTGAAGAACGTCGCGCCGCATGCGGGACACTTCAAATAGGGTCTCTTCTTATCCGTATAATGCAGGGAAAGAGGATTTAATTTCTTTGTCCACTTTTTGTCCCTTTTCATCTTTTCCAGGTTTTCGTATGTGATACATTCGATTTTAGGAATACGTTCGTGCTCCTCGGAAGATGTGCTTTGGCTAGTTTCGTCCTGTGTCGCTTGATCGTTGTTAGCTACGTACTTCCGCAAATATACCATCTTATTGTAACTATGTTTCCACCTACCATTCTTTTGATTCTTGGAGATTTTATGCATACTCTGTTCAAGTAGTTCCTCCATCCTCACTTCAGCATCCTCGAGAGCCTCTAAGGGAGGCATTAGAATGTAATTGTCCTCATTAGACACAGATGGTTCAATCTTACAGGATACTTCAGAAGGATGCTTCGTAAGATACAACAAATCTAGCGATGTCTCCTGTTCCTGAGGTTCCACTTTGTGTGGAACAGTCTCCACGCTGCTTCGTAATTTTCGTCCACTGCTACTGGCATGCTTACTCTTTCTGTGACTCTTGCTCTTCTTCTCCTCCGTGGTCTTTTTCGTTTTTTTGGGCAGGTTCTCACTCTCGATCTCGTCCAGCTTCAGCATCCTGTTAGTCTCCAAATCGCGTCGCCTCATTGACGCTGTATTACACAATCAATGGGACGGGGTACGTGTGTTTACAATTGTCAGACGTCGTGACATAACCTGATACTCGTGTCCTATTAACAGACGCATGTGAGAAAACGTGCGAAAATCTCGCCGATCCTGCGAATACCTGATTCATGTACTTACGTATCGCGATCAGACGCATAGTCGATGACAGCCCTGGTTGTGCTTCACGACGCGCTGTCACATTGCACCCCCCGAGCATTGATTTTTCCGGGATCCGGATTTCTCCGGACGCATGGCCGTCCGCTGTCCTAGGGCGGAGAAGTCGTGTAGAAATACGGCGTACCGATTCTCGTCTTGTAGCTCGTTCAGGAAAATACGTATATACGGGAAACCCTGGTGTTTCTCTTCCTCGATAACGCTGGATGGATCAGCTGTTCTACGAAACGGATGCGAGAGAGAGAGACCGAACGATCTCGTTCGCCATGCCGTAGCGTCGCTTACCGTCCTCGCGTTCTGCTTTCAAGAGTAGAAAGGGCTCAATAACGGATAACGGGCCGAGGTAGCTTGCGCCGCGAATCGATGAGAAAGAAAGAAAGGAAGAAAGAAAGGAAGAATATGCTCGATGTGATCTCTTTGCCTTCTCCTTCCCTCGGACAACACACCCAGACCGATAGTGCCCGGATATTCGCCTATTTTGTTTTAAACGAACTTCCTGTTTGTCGGGAAAAGAGGAGGAGGCAAAGAGATTGTGTGACTTCTTCTGATTTGCACAGATTCTTTTAATGTTTATTCTCGTTACTTGTAGATTATGAGATAAAATCACATTACTTTTTTTGAATGTATTATATGTAGAAGTTAAAAAACGAAGTCGATGTCTAGTGCGAAAATATCTCCTTTCTCTCTCTCTCTCTCTCTCTCTCTCTCTCTCTCTCTCTCTTTCTCTCTCGCTTTTGTTCTCTTTCCTCCCCTCCTTCGCTTTCTCATTCTTTTTCGTTCTCTTCTCTTTCTCTTTTTCTCTCTCTTTCTCTCTCTTCTTTCGCCATATATACAGTATCTTTCAAAGATTTATATTGCAGGGCTGTTAATGAAAAATGCGACACTTGATATTACATTGCAAATTTTCAAATAGAATAAAAAGTCAAAGTGACATCATTAAAATGACATCAAAATGACGTCAAAATAGCATCAAAATAAATTATATATATTAAAGGTCATTTATTGATCCCATCATGATTTATTTTAATGTCATTTTGACTATCATCGTGATATCGATCTTATCCAAGCAGAATACAAAAGAGAGTCATAACTAATTAAGTCATAATTAATAATATCTTACGTAGAACGCCATTTTATATTTAAAATGAAATTATAAACGACAAATAAGGTCACGATGATGTCTACGCATGCATTAGTCCATATTATATATATGATTTCAGTGTTCTACTTCAGTGGATTCATATACTAATGCGATACGTGGCTTATTATAATATTAATATGTATGGTTCTGAAGCTACAGCCACCTATTTTATTATCGCATTATAAAAAAATTATCTAGACGATATTATTTGTCTCATTAATATAGCTATATTTTATCTGCTATATTTTATCGTATTATAGACGCATCGGTATGTCTCTTGCACGGTATGTCTCTTGTGGACAACGGAAACGCATAAAAAAAAAAGGAAAAAAAAGAACTGTGACCACCGTGAAAACAAAAATTATGAAAAGGAAAAAAGGTGAGAAAAGCATTTAATCTTTCAACCAAACTTAATTTTTTCAAGACTTTTCAAAAAAACGTTAAGTTAATATTTCTATAGATTTGGACCAAATGAAT